ACAAGTCTGCATCTTGTACAGCAATTAACCACTAAGAAAAATATATGCAGTGTATTATTTGTTGAAACTGTACTTTCGATTTGATTTGAAACTGTCTAATTGCTATATGTTTATCAGTAAAACTTTGAAAATAAAATAAAATTATCAATAACTACAATCAAGAACTATTCTTTAAAATATGAAGTGAGTATAAATAATATTTGATGTGACTTACTGGAAATAACTTAAAAATACTTCTAAATTTTCTGGAGTATGACTAGTATACTTTCTAAATTAAATATTAAAGAACTACAAAGTTTATGATGATTTAAAATTAATTTTCATCTAATTTCAATGTTTCAACACTCAGTATAAAGACATTTTATTAGCAGGATTTCAAAACAGCAATTCAAGCTTAAATTTTACTTCATATAATATTCACCCTAAGTTTAGTCTAAACCATAACAAGTCAAAAGAGTATTAAAATCTTTTGCCAGACAGAAAAGTCCAATCGATTAGTGTTACCTTAATTGTATTTCTGTTTCTTCAAGATTTTCTATTTGTTTCAACAGTTGTTCTTCTTGCATTTTGCTATTCTAAAGAGAAAACTGTTTTCATTATTTTGCTTAAATGAAAGCAACATTGAAGTTAATATTTAAAACTTCCATCTGCTACTACAAAACTTATTTATATGCAAAGAAATAGAATAGGCTATTTAATTTGTGCAGTTCCAAACTACTTTTTTTTTTTTTGTATTTTAGGGAAGTGTCTACAGGGTGTTCAGGGTCTCACTACTAGATCAGACTCGTAGTAATCCGCCTGTTTACAGCCTCACAAGAGCTAGAATTACAAGCATATGTCACCACGTCCAGTCTCACTTGCCAACTCAGTGCGCCCCAGGGGCGGGGCCAGCATGGCACACCCAGGGATCGAGAAGTTTTTGCAGGTCAAAAGAAATTACCAACAAAGTGAAAACACAACCCACAAATTTCAAAAAAATCTTGACTAATAAGCACTCAAGCAAAGGTCTGCTCTCTAGAATTTATAAAGAACTAAAAAACATTAGGGACCCAAAATTTCAAGATCCAATCCAGAAATGAGCATTCAAGATGAACACACACTTATCAGAGGGTAAAATTAAAGAAGTGAATAAATAGGGGCCGGGGTGATGGCTCAGTGGAATAAGCGCTTTCCTGGCAAGCTCAAGGACCTGAGTTCAATCCCTGGTTCCACAAAAAAAAAAAAAAGTGAATAAATATATGAAAAAATGTTCCACATCACTAGCCATTTGTGAAATGCAAATTAAAACAACACTGAGATACCATCTCACTCCAGAAAGAATGGCTATCATAAACAAATCACCCAACAACAAATGTTGGAGAGGCTGTGGTGAAAAGAGAACCCTTCTCCACTGCTGGTGGGAATGCAGACTAGTGCAACCATTATGGAAATCAGTGTAGAGACTCCTTAAAAAAACTAGGACTGGAAATCCCATTCAAGCCAGCTATCCCTCTATTGGGAGGAGGAACTGAAAATGTCATATCATAGTGATATATGTGTACCTATGTTTATAGCAACAAAATTTGTGAGAGCCAAATCTTTGAAACAACCAAGATGCCCATCACATAAGGAATGGTTGAAAAAGATGTGGTACTTTTACACAATGGAGTAAAAGTGAGAGCTTGAGGACCGAACAACAAGGAGAGGGCAAGGAGAAAAGCTGGGGAAAAATGACAGGGGCAAAGTCATACATTTATACACACAAGATGGGTAAGGCAAGGATCCTGAGAAACATCAGCAGGTTTTTGAAACTGGCAGTTAATTGGTAGGATTATCACCCTAACTATATATGCCGATACCTGTGAACTAAGCAACTACACTGAAGATAGCAATATGTAATAAGGATCAAACCCCCAACCCCTGTGCCTGCTTGCAGGCACTTTAACCAAACTACTTTTTCAGCTTTACATTAATTATTCTCTTAACAATCTCTATATACCAGTTAACAAAACAATCTTTCTTTCCAAAAAATACTTTGAGCCTTGTAGCCTATGTTTACACTGTTCTGGGTTCAAGGAATGTTTTCCATTATTGTTACCCACAGATCTCAATACTCACCTTTAAGGCTAAAATCACCACTATACTCTTTACAAAGACTTCTCTTCCACCAAAGAAGTGATCCTGTGGACTGTACACTACATTGCCTCATGGACAAAAACATATTATATACTATTTTAAGTCATCTGAGTGGATCTCTTGAAGAGAAAGGATATTTTATCACTATATCCTTGACTCTATGACTCAATATACTTATTGCCTAAATATTTTATAAAACCTTAATGTTTAAAGTTAAATTTATCCAAGTAATCTCAATATTATATTAACCACTAGCATCACCTAAGAATCAGCTCTAAAGTATTCAGATTTCAGACCTTCTGACATTATTGATTCATTTAATATCCCAAAATATTCCAAGAAAAATGTCATCACTTTTTCAACTTACATTAATATGGTCTTGCTGCTGCTTGAGTTCCAAAGCCATATCACTTTTTTCTTGTGCCAGTTCTTTGTTTTCTAGTGACAACTTGTCACAATTTACTGTTAATTCAGTATTCTTAAGCCTATGTTTTAAAAAGTCATACCAAAGTATTTATATATTAAATCATACAATATGTGAAATTTAATTCAGAATAATCTTAGGAGAAAGGAAGGGTAGAGTTAAAAATAAAACAAAATGGCCATTAGCTAATAATTTCTGTAGCAGTACAAGATTCATCCTTATTTATTATTCCCTCTGTACTGTACATGTTTGAAAATTGTCAACACTGTCAACGTATGAGAAAATACATTTCCTTGTATATTCTACCCCACTCTCATTCCCCAACACTTCTGAACAGATTCTGAATGGAAGGCAAGGTAGGGTGTGGTTTTACTGAATGATTTCAGGAACACCTAGTATCTCTTCCTACTTAATACTGTTAGTTCATCGAAGAAAAAAATACAGCTCTTCACTAAAAATGCCAGACACGCATACAAGGGAAACACATTTATACTGAAGTATGAATGACAAATCTCTCCATTCATTGAAAGAGACTTTGATTAATAAAGATGTATTTTACTCAAGAGATCCTAAAAAAGCACTGTTTACACAGTACTAGAAGAAATGGCAGCTAATAAAAAGGAACAAAACAGCTGTTCAATAAACTATTCACTTCATTTTTATCTAGAGCTGAGAGGCAAGCAAGAGAGAAAAAAAAAATCATGGTCACCACCAAACTGGCTAGTTGAATTTGCTTCTAAGGTATAATGTGGTAATTGTTTCCTATACTTTGTTTCCAAACTAAATTTAATGAGTAACTAAAATCATTCAATTATATATTTGGTCAATGTAAGAAATAAATTTGTATCTTTACATTTTTAACATAACATTTGAAATAATTTATCCAAAACATATCTAGGGAGCCTAGGACTTAGCTAAGTGAAGCAGCACATGCCTGGCAAACATTAAGTCCTGAGTTCGATTCCCAGTACCCTCCCCCAGAAAAAAGGACTTAGAATGGAAAATAATTATTTTTATGGGAAACTAATTACCTCCATAAAAGTTATAGAGTTAGTCATTTATAGCCTCAGGTTCTACACATCCATGGAGTCAACTCAACTAAGTACAGGTTGAAAATAGGAAAAAAAAATTGCATCTGTACTGAACATACAGATTTTTGTCATTATTTCCTGAATAACAATAAACAACTATTTATGTAGTACTTTCACTGTATTAGCTATTATAACCAAGAGGTAATTTAAAGCATATCAGGGAATACGCACAAGTTAAATGCAAACAGTATATAACATTTTATATAAAGAACTGGAGCATCACAGATTTTGGTATACTCAGCGGTCCAAGGCCCCATCCCCCATGAATATCAAGTGATGGCTAAATATCTTCAAAGTGATTTAACATTTGTTATATGTACTCTCGTGTCAATCATAAATATTTCCTTTAGCACTGAAACCGGTGAACTTTTCTGATTTCCAATTAGGAATAAAATGCAATTTCAAATTCATTCATGTAAATATTGAACATAATTTAGTAATTCAATATTACCAGAAAGCTTAGTACACTTGGATGCATAAACTATATACAGCTATATGGAAAACATACTTCTCCTTTTCAAGCTCAGTTTTCATATCTTTAACCTGGTCTGAATAATGATGTTCACTTGTGGCAATGGCAGTCAATTGTATTTCGAAATCATGTATTTCTCTCTGGAAAAACAATATATAAAGATGCAAATATTTACCGACATTTTTCATTTAAGTAAAATATGATTGTTCTAAGGAATTAAAGTAATGTACTTGGCAAATATTTTGCAGAATGTCAAATATTTTAAATTTAAGTACATTTAACAAGATAATCATTTTAATTTAAAATAAGCAATGAAAAATGCAATGTAAGTAAATTCTACTTGACATTCTGAAATTCAACTAGAGAAACTGTATTATTTTTTACAAAACACTTTTTACCAATTTCACTCTACCAGGTAATTAATTTCAATCAAAACATTGTTTTCATTAAGAAGAAATGTGCTAATTAATTGAACCAAGTAGTATTTTTTAAAAAAAAACCTAAGATGTTCTAAGACAGTAGTAATTCTGTTATGGACTAGAAATATACTTTAGACAAATTCCAAAGTTAAACTATGAGCACTATAAAAAAATATTATACTCTAAGAACCTCAATCATAACGGCTACATTTCAAATATACACACTGGGAAACACTCAAGATATCAAGATTGTAATTTTTATAAATCAAAGAATTATGAAAAAGTTGAATATCTTTTTTTTCTGTAATTTTATTGAGACAGATAGCAATGAGACAGTTTCACAACAAATTGGTATGACAGTTTCAATAATTAACACATTGCATACTCTCTTCCTAGTGGTTATTTGCTATACAAGATGCGGACATGATATCCTATTTACAAACACTATTAGAACAAATCCCTCTATTCGTTAAGAAAATGTAACTATACATCTATCCTAACCATTTTGAATACACAGATACAAAATGGTCATTATTTGTATCCCCTTTGTTTAGTTCTGTCATTTGAATATTACAGGTGTGTTAACTCAGCAAAATATTCTAAAAGAGTCCAGTAGTCCATAATAGTATTGGGTCTTCCGCTTCACTGGCAATGTCAGAAATTGTTGACCTGAGTCCCCTACAGCTCAACATAACATGACTTTACTTCTTATACTTCATTTTTATACTTTTCTGCTGGATGGTTAAGACCAAGGTAAAGCAGGACCTATGTGCTTTTGGATCTGAGAAGGTCAGTGAAATCCCCTCAGGATTTATCCTGAGATCCGTACCTCAGATTGTAGATCCTTTGTCATTGTCAGCCATGTGGATGAGTCATGGCCATTGCTTGGGCAATGTGCTCTCTGTGAAAGCCTGAGAGAATGTTTTCTCTCCATGTGACTCTCCTTAAGCATACTCTACATCATTGATCACTTTCCTCTTTGGCCCCATAATCTCCTTGATCAGGAAATTTGGGACACTACTGAGTTACATGATGTTACAGTACAGGTTCTCATGTCCTGAGTCTTAATTGACCTTGGAAGGCTAGAGCCAAAATGTTGGCTTTCCTTGTAGCCCTCCTTTTTCTCTAATTTTGGTCTACAAACTTAGGTTGTTAATCCTCCAGAAGAGAAGCTTGTTATTACCATACAACCTAGGCTGTTAAGCTTAACCTAACTATCTGTCTGAATATCAAACATTTTAGGCATAACATGGAACAGGTATTTTTCATCAAGTATTGATATGCTGAACTTTAAGTCCCTAAAGAATATGATGAAAAAACATTTAAAAAATTAAAATATATTTTAAAAATAGGAATAAAGAATTATATAATTCTTATGTTTACACATAAGTCCAGAAATCTAACCATATACAACCTTGTAGCAAGACAGTTCCACAACATTCTTTTTTTCCTGTTTCCTGCCTTCATTCACCACCCTCTTCTTTTAAAGATGAATATCTTAAATGTTGACCTTTATCTCCCACACTATAAAATGAAGAGTTTTGAAGTGTATATATTTCAAAATGATCATTAGCATTTTAAGTAAGAACACATTCTTTTAAAAAGAAGTTGGTAAAAAGGGCCAGAAAGACAGCTCAGTGGACTAAGTGCCTACTTAGGTAAGCAAAGGGACCTGGATTCAATCCCTGTTTCCGCAGGCCATCCTGGCTCCACCCCCAGATGAGCTGAGCCAACCAACGAGACTGGGCATGGCAGCACACACCTGTAATCCCAGCACTGGGGTGGCTGAAAACAGGAAGATCACTACAAGTCCAAGCTGCCTAGTGAGACCCTGTACCAAATACATTTTTATAAAAAAAACAAAATTGGTAAAGAAATCTCTCACATAGCAATTAGCTATACCATATTTACCTTGTAAATTTATATTCTATTAACATATATTTAAAGCAAACAAACCTCTCTGTTTTGTAAAAGACCAGTTAGTTCTTGTTGTTTTCCTTTTAATTCTTCAACGACCTTTTCAATTTGTTTCTTTTCATCTAAAAGCTTTTGGTTTTCTGCCTATTTAAAAATAACAAAAAAAAAAATTATGAGCATCAAGCTATGTACACATTCAAAATAATTAAATTGCCTATCACAACTATGAGCTTCTCTTTGACTGAAGTTCTTTAAAAGAGAAAATAAGTGATTATAATAAACTAAAAAAGGATTTAATCGAGATAGCTGTGAAACAAGAGGAAAATTTTTTAATTTAAAAATCATATAGGTCATTAAATTCAAAATCTTATTTTATGTATAAATTATTCAAGGTCATTAGAAAATAGCCAGTCATCCACTATTCTATTAATCCTTTGTGTTTATATTGCAATAAAACATGGTTCCCTGTAGTTTTCATGGGAAACTACACTGTTCTTCCTTCCATAACTATATAGCACTAGTCTTATTAATCTGTTTTGCACATAAGTGACAGAATTTCAAGAGATCTATAATCTACTAAATTTTCTCTGAAATGTTCTAAAATGTCTAGTTATATTATTCTTCCTGTGAATAATTCACCTATTCTCTCTGAGTGGATGAATTATTTCTGGCTTTCACATAGAATAGTAGGGCAAATATAACTTCAAACAATTTATAATATATTTCAAAATTATTATATCCAATATATAAAATTGATTATTTTTGTTTCGTTTTGAGTACTGTAAATTGAAAAAAACTGATTAATTTTGAAGACAAAAATGCTCATTACTCAGATTTCATCATTATACATTGTATACATGCATTGAATTCCCATTATGTATACCATAAAGATGAACAAATATTATTTCTCCATCAAAAAATTCAACCCGTTATTCTACAGCAAAGATCAACAAACTGTAAGAAAAAAAATCCTTTAGACACATCTACTCATCTATATATTGTGTATGTCTAGTTTATCTTATAGTAACAGCAATGATTAGCTGTAACAGGGATAAAATGTCTCCAAAGTGCAAACATTAATACTTTTTACCTTTAGAAAGTGTGTCAATATCTACTGTAAGAAAATCCTATACAATGAAAATTTTTGCAATAATAGAAATGTTTTCTGTGCTGTCCAGTATGAAAGCTATTGGGTACTTCAAGTGTGGCTACAACTGAGAAACTGTATTAAATTTGATTTGTTTTTAGTTATCTTGTAATAGTCCCACTGACTAACGATACTAGATTATCACAGTTTTATAAAATAGACAAATTATAAAACTATGAATTCTTTAAAAAAACTATGACTTCTTTACATAGTTTTTCTTTAAAAAAAACTATGTATTCTTTAATTATGAAAAATTAACTTCTGTCATCATTCCTGACGTGTAACAGCATATATTTATGATCTCACTTTTTGCTTTGTTTACTCAAGTATAAAATCACAAGACTATTTAAAGGTGTGACGAAAAATGGTTCTATTACTGCCTCAAAAACTACCAGCTGTAAAGAACTTGAATTTTATCTGTAAGCAATACAGAACCATCAAAAAGTTTTGATACAGCAATATAACAATATTTATAATTTTAAAACATTAACAATACAAAAGAAAGCTTTAGAAGAATGAACCCAATAAGATAGTCATTATAGCTTCTCAGCCTTTTGGCTAAGATCAAGTGTAACAGTTCTAAGACAACTATTCCAAACAAGATAACAAGAGTTTAAAATATAACTATGGAAGATAAATTGGTAACAGCTACCTTTTGATGCTTTAAATATATTTTTATTCCTTATACTATTTTGTGCAAATTAGATGTGTGACAAAATGTGGTCCTGTCTTTTCTATCAAAGGATATAAATAAGAATGCCTCCATTTTAGACTCTTGATTGCCCTAGGCAGCCCCTCCCAAACAAACTAACATTTTGGAAAACGCCTGCTCAGTTTACATTCTGGGAACATAGCTACAAATCAAGACAGATTATCAATAGCCAAGAACCTTCCACTGCCCACATCCTCTCACCTCTCACTCTTCCCTCCCTTAGGAACCCACTACAGGTAAACTCTACAAGTTAAAGCAATTAGACAAAGAGAGAAACTAAACCTACAGAGGTGCCAGGTAAGACAATTACAGTAAGAATTTATCAGAAAGAGTTAACATAAGAGGGAAGCAAGAAACATGAAAGACCAGAGAAACAAGCCTTTTTACCCACCTCTGATAAATGTAAATCAGATAAAGGGCAGCAACCTAAGGACACATTTAATATACAAAAAATACATACACCTATACATATATACTGACATGTACAGTCTCTCTATAGCATCATTATATCCATACCAGATATACACTTCACTTTTACTCCATTTTTAACTCTAAACTGCCCTTCTATGAGCCCCCCACACACACATATCCATCACAAAAAGGCAGCAAAGACTCAAGGGGCCAGAAAAAATGTAGAGATACTTAGATTAGGATCAAAGAGCTAATCAGATGGCCACAACTTCCAGGTGCCCACATGGAGGACTGATGAAATCACTAGTCCTAAACAAAAAGGAAATTAAGACAAAACTCCACGAGTATTCACTTCAAATATCTCCTACTTTCCCAGAGCAGCTGGCCATCTTTTTTCTGTCCTTTTCCAAATAAACTGTATTCCTTATTTTAAATTGCAACTTTAATTAATTAATAGAGCTGACAATTTATAATCCCAGTATCTGCATGATGTTCCAGACAAGGAGCAGTATGTACATCCCACCCCACCACAACAAAACCAACTCATAAATCTAACATTCATAATTCATGATACAAACACAAAAGCAATGTAGTACAAAGGCTCAGGGAACTATACTAACACTCAAAGCACTCACTATTCATAAAAAGTGAGGTGGAATAAATAAAAATGTTCAATATCACTGGTCATTCAAGAAATTAAAACATTGAGATTCCATCTCATCTCAGAAAGAATGGCTATCATCATGAAATCAATCAATAAAAATGCTGGAAAGGCTGCAGGGAAAAAAAAGGAACACTTCTTCACTGTTTGTGGGAATGTAGACTGATAAAGCCACTGTGGAGATTCCTCAAAAGTACAGTTAGAAGTCTCATTCGACCCAGCTATTCCCCTTGTAGGTATTTTTCTAGAAGAACTGAAAACATCATACCTCAGCACTATATATGCACATATTTTTATAGCAGCATAATTTGTCATAGTGAAATTTTGAAAACAGCCCAAATGCTTATCAACTGAGGAATGGGTAAAAAAGATGTGGTATTTTCACACAATGGAGCATTACTCAGCTAGAAAGATAAACTCGAGGTTTTTATAGGTAAATGGATTCAACTAAAGTCCAAACTCATAAGTGAAATAAAGCAGACCCACCTGTCTATGTCTAAACATAGAATTGTCTCCCTAGTGTAAGAAACTGAAAGAGTAAAATTCAAGAAGTATTGTAGATGATATTGTGAAACAGAAAGAAAGTGCTCAAAAGAAAAAAATGGGATGAGGGAAAGGAGAAAAGGAGAAATGAAACACACACACACACACACACACACACACACACAGATAGCTAAGAGAATTGTACTACTAATTTCTACTCTTATTGAAAGGAATAGTTGATGCTTAAATTTTTTTACCATTTTTACATGCTTATATTTGGTAAACTGAACAACCACTCTGAAGATAATAATATGAAATATATAACCATTGTTGAATTCTTCTTAAATTCTATATCATTTTTGTTTTATTCTCTCTAAAATAAAAACTAAATGGTGAGAAATAAAGTCTATCACAAAGGCAAAAAAAAAAAAAACTAAATGGGAGGGAACACTGTCTAAATATGAATCACATTTTAAAAGACACTTAAAAATGTGAGAAAGGAAGCCCAGTATAGGGTGGAGGTCAGCCTGGCCTACACAGTGAGATTCTATCTCAAAACAAAATCAAAAATTATTCACATTAATGGGGGACCATGTGATGATTTGTTACATGTATATCTTCTGTGATGTTTATATCAAATTAAACATATTTACCTCAAATTATCACCATAAAGATAAACAATTTTTGAAATATATACTGCATCGTTATAGTAACCACACTGTGCAATATTTAACTGTTTGTTAGCCTCAATGACCAACCTATCCCCACCCAATCCCTTCTACTCTTGCTAGTTTCTAATACTATTATCATTTTATTCTGACTTCTATGGGATCAACTCAGTAAATTCCACATATGAGTGAGGTCATTTAAGTACTTATCTTTCTGTTCCCAGTTTATTTTACTTAACAACCTCAGGATCTATCCACATTGTTACAAAAATAAGATTTCATTATTTTGTATGGTTAAACAGCATTTTGTTGTTTATATGCACAATTTCTCTACCCATTCCTAAATTGGGGGACACAGGTTGTTTCAATTTCTTGGCTTTAATGAATAATGTATAATTAACATGGGAGTGCAGATGTCTCTGACATGATTTCACTTCCTTTGGATACAAACTATTACGGCTTGTGTCTAGATGTCCACCTAAAGGCTCATGTAGTCAAATGGGCAGGTTTTTCAGAGATGGCTGGATCTACAGTGCGTGGTGCTAGCATCAAGGGTGATTACTAAATCAGTCCACTGATTGGTTTGACATACTTTTTTTAATGTATTTAGTACAGGGTCTATAGGGCCTACAGGGTCTCACTACATAGATCAAACTCGTAGTGATTCTCCTGTTTTCAAAGCCTCCCAAATGCTGGGATTACAGGCACATGCCACCATACCCAGTCTCTACTGCCATCTCAGCACACCCTTTGGGCAGGGCCAGCACTGCACACAAGAGATTCAACTCAGCCGCTGGCCTCTGCCTAAGCAAGGTGATTTAGTCCATTGAGCTATCTGACCAGCTCTTGGTTTGACATACTTCTGCTCAGGATTAAAGGTGTGCTAAACCCACCCTAGGGCAGATAATCTCCCTAAAATGTAAATGATAAAAAGACTAAAGTGCCCTCACCTGCCTGCTTGCCATGGGCCATTTTTTTTCCTCTGTGGTGCCTTCTGCCATACCACCCTTTCTTGGATCTAAAATAAACCTTTCCTCCTTTAATTTTGAATACTGGGTATTT